ATATAGTAGGCGTTGAAGCTTTACGTTTCGAATACTCCTTTGTTTGCTGCATGAGAAACGTTATTTGAATTTAAAAAAAGATGTTATACCAGTTTTTAAAGTAATTATTTTAAAATTCATATTTTATTTTATATCAGTTTTAAACTCCAGGTGTCGACAGCTATTAATGTCCGGTAAATGATCTAGCTATTGAGTTGTATTTGTGAAATATGACCGAATTAAAGAAAACCTTTTATTGCGTTTTAACTATTATAACCTTCAATAAGTAGCATGAATGTTTGAGAGACGCGCATGATTGAGGAACGTTAAGAAACACGAGCTTTCCTGGTTTTGTTTGCTGTTACAGCGACAGACTTGACGCCAAATAATACCGTAATCCAACCCTACATTTAAGCTGTTATATTATAGCATTGTTTCCACGATTAGATTCATACAGCGAGAATATTACCACTTGAAATTCTCACTTCTAAAGTACAAGCAGATAGGTGTATCAGGTTGCTATCTTTGCGCCATCTAGTGGGCCTTGACCTTCCCGGGAAAGCAAAGTGTCAACTTGCAGGAGTATGTTTATATTTTAGGTTACACGTGACATTTCTACCGTAAACATAAACGACTATAAATACTAAGTTATTGTCTGGGATTCAAATCATAAAGGTGATGTACTTTCTCACGACATTGAACCTTTACCTCCTCCGTAGTTGTTATTACTACCCTCTTTTTGACTCGTTACAAAACGCACACTTAATAAAGATCATATATTCGACAGTTTCAGACTTTTCCACTGAGGTCACATGACAATATATGTTCTGACTCAGTATGGGTGTTATCACCTAACTACCAAGCCTATAGAACAATACATGTGATTAATCTTATCTTCAAAACGTTTCCATAGCAAAGACTATAAAACTACACACTGGTAGAAGTAAGCAACCCAGGGTCAACGTCTAAGCTGGGAACGACAGTCAACACAGCAAGAAATGAAGATTGGTCAATACTTTGCGTCAACAAACCAATCACTATGCGTTTCTTTTCGAGTTAACTAATCATTCGTTTTTGGCATTCTGTCTCTTGTGTGCCTATGAAAACATGGGTGTATAATTTGTATGTAAACGTAATAAATAACCACAGCATGGATGTATGTTTAAAAGTAATAAATAACCACAGACATCCATGATTACTTTTAAACATCCATGATGTGGTTATTTATGTATGTTTAAAAGTAATAAATAACCACTCCATGTGTGGTTATTTATTACTTTTAAACATACATCCATGATGTGGTCATTTATTACTTTTAAACATACATCCATGGTTGTATGTTTAAAAGTAATAAATGACCACATCATGGATGTATGTGTAAACGTAATAAATAACCACACCATGGATGTATGTTTAAAAGTAATAAATGACCACATCATGGATGTATGTGTAAATGTAATAAACAGGAATGGCTATTATAAATAGTATTGAATAGCTTTTCGCGAAATTCAATAAACAAACAAATAGACTGAAGGATTTTTATGAACAATGTCCTTTATTTCTAGTGTCCTTGTGCAGATTTCTGTTTATAATGTCCCAAGTGCCCCAACATACTTGTTTTGGACTGTGAATCTAAGATTTGCTGGTTCGCGTCCCGTTGCAGAAAAAACTCGCTCAGCACTTTGGGGCAGTGGGTGTGCTATGAGAGTGACAGTCAGATCCTACTATTGGGTCACACAAAGAGTCCCAAGGGTTGACGATGGATGCTGTTGTCTGGTTGCTTTCCTCTTGCCTTTTCCCTAACTTTATTGCCAAAATGTCTAAATCCCTCCTGTATACATTACAAATTCTAAAAAAAAATCACGCTAGACTGCAGAAAGAAAGTCTAAAAGTTGAGAGTGACATAATTATAAAAATAGTTACATTGTTAGCATTGAAAAGACTCGGACGTTATTGAAGCAAGTTTTTTACATGGACGTTTAAAATGTAATGGTGTGTACATGGAACAAAGACAAGTTTGGTGAAATGGGCAACAGAGAGGAAAGTGAAAGGCAGGCAGCGGAGAAGAAGAGCAAGGAAGAGATGGAAGGATTGTATTAAAGAGGACAGTGGTCAAGTAGATCTCATTGTGATGAACGTTAGACTTAGAAGGGTCACGAGACGTCCCGATTTCATATAAAGGGAAGAAAAAAAACGACCTTTTACAGTCCAGATAATGACAATAAAACTTTTTATTTCAGCCAAAGTTTCGCCATTGCGGCTTCATCAAGGCTAGTGGTAGTAGTACAAGAACAAATTAGGTGTTTGTTTATCACGAATATTAGTCCTAAAATTACATTATTGCTACAAAAATGTTGGTTTCTTCATTGCGACACATTGAAGATATTGTTACATACATTTCGTATAATATTAATGTCTACCTAATATATTTCTTCAATTCTACAAAAGCTTTGTCAGATGTTAAACCAAACTATTACTACAGTGTATAAGAAACATTTATCCTTCATGCAGTTTATGTGTATCGTCTGTTGCAATATTCTCACAGAATCCTTTTAATAGGAACCCACTCTTGTCTTTGAGGTCATTTGAATGTTATTTACACACATATGTATATATACGAAGCCTAAACAACTTAGTCTCACCATCAGGTGCCGTTTGGTTAAGTTTATTTAAGACTACCGCTAAATAAGTGTACTATTAATGGACTGGCACTCTGAATAACCAAGAAAATAAACTTCTGCTCGACTATAAATACAAAGAGACGTAGTTTATTTTCACTATAATTACAAGTACGCGTGGATAGAAAGTTCTTGAAACTGCGCTAATTGGTATATCTGTAGGTCTTGTTGGTCTACTGGCCTTTACCTTCCACTTACTGAATATTCCAATAGAGAAACAATTAATTTAACAAGTAACGCCAATCTAGATTTAGTTGCAAATGCATTATGTATAACCAATTGTTTTTTTTTGTGTTTTTTTCTGGCAGCCTCCATCACAGAATTGACCCTCAGGTTTCAACGCCATGAATCCTTGGATAAGAAAAAAAAACATACAAACAGTAATACCAATTCAACAAAGCAATGTTGGTTACTTATTTTTGAAGTCTATATTACATTAGCTTATCGATTTAATTTGAAGAAAATAAACAGAATCTTGAAGAAAACTGGTTACGTTTATGTTAATTTGCCATAACTGTTTGGCGACCTTCACCTCGAAATGCGCTTGATATGATTAATGTTAATTTGCCATAACTGTTTGAAAGTGACAGAAACGCTTCTTGTAATTTGCTAGGCAACTGAGTGATAGCAGTTGTTGGGTCACTTCAGTCATGACATTAGTGAAGTTCCAGTCGTAACTGGTTACAGTCATCTAAGTTTCATGAAAGGTCATAAAGATTCGGCGTACGTAACCTTGTCTGCAAGACGACTGAAATATCGGTTGGTAACAAGTTCCACTTCAGTAAAAAATGGATTAATTCAACGTTGTAGTTCATTGGAACTCTCCTTCACTGTTTAAGATAATTAATCACATATATAGATACACATTCTCTTACCGATAATAATTTATTGTAATAACTAAAATAGGTAATGTTGTATTGCTATTATTGTGAAAACAACACTTCTATAACATGTATAACAATACACACTGTACATACAACACGCAATAAGGAACAAACTAAGTTAAGCCTACTTCTACTGCGTGGTAGTTTAAAGTTTTCGTAAGTACAGGTCTATAAACGTTCCGGAATCCTGAGGTTTTACTTTAGGTAAAACTGACTGTACTTTATTTTAGGTTTTGATAGACTGCATACATCTGGATTGTGAGTGGACGAAATTTTGGTCTCTGTGCTGAGACTTTCAAAGTTTCATTACGATCCGATGAAGGCCTTAGCACAAATAAACCAATATCGAAATGCCCAGTCCTACACTCCGGGCAGATGCAGTTTTAACAACAACAACAAAAATCATACTACACGGTATTATAATATATTTATTACATTTAAATACTTTAACATAGTACAATTTCAGTTCTTATATATAATATACTGTGAACTATTTCCTTAATACTGATACGCTATTTTATTTCTAAAACGAATATACTTTTTAATTGTTTGGTGAACTGGGTTATCAGATACGTTATTTTATAATTTACATTGTCATTTTTGATCCAAACGTTTATTTTAGAAGTTTAACACATATAACTACTGCCGTTTACTGGTCGTTAAATTGAGAAGACAACAAAAGAGAGTTTAAAAAATTGGATAACAACTACATTTAATTCCAGAAGATACATAATTATTAAACAAACATTTATTATTATTTTACCATCAGCTTTATTGTACTCCAAATCGTAGGCCTACAGGCTACAGTAATAGAAGCTCGTGTCCTTTAAATTGAATTTCGACTACTCTGTTTGTAAAACTGCAGATGGCGTTTGACAACAACAATGCTAATCCGAAATGAAGATACCAAAACTAAATAAATAACCCCCTAATAAGCTAAAGCTGAATATTAATAAGATACAACATTCTATGAAGAAAACACTAAGTTTTCCATCCCGAATATATATTTTATCGATACAATTGTAACGTTAAACAGAATAACACTTCTGTAGGGTCTTAATTTGTTCACTACATTTTGTATGAATTATAAGTTTATTATATTAAAGACAATAAAATTCAGATCTCGCAATACGATCTGAAACAACTAATGTAAATTATCTCCATTACGACGAACCCCCTGCTATAAAATCATTTTTGAGAAGAACCTTCTTGGAGTAACAAACAATTTACGTTGTCATTCCTTGTATATAATTTTCAAATGATTTCAGTTTATGAGATGCAAATCTCAGCGACTTTCTTACAGCATATTTCTAAAATTTATTAGGTATTTCTCACTCAGCAGTAACTAATTAATTTTTTCTGTTGCTCTCAACAGACCAGGAAGGAGTTGTGCAGCAGGTAGTCCAACAGTGTGCAATCTGTGGGGATAGAGCTACAGGAAAACATTACGGTGCAGCTAGTTGTGATGGCTGTAAAGGATTCTTCAGACGAAGTGTTCGCAAGAACCATCAGTATGCCTGCAGGTTTAACAGGAGTTGCGTAGTGGACAAGGACAAGAGGAACCAATGTCGGTATTGTCGTCTGAAGAAGTGTTTCAGAGCAGGCATGAAGAAAGAAGGTGAGACTGAAAGCAATAAATGTGTTTTTTTCTTTAAGAACTTTTTACTGCTCTACTTAATGAGGTAAGACGTGGCATTTTATTATGTGTGTTATAATTATATATATGTATATTTAATTCTCCCAGTGGGTCAGCAGTAAGTTTACCCTAAATTTCAGGGTTCAGTTCTTTGCAGTGGGTAGAGCGGAGATAGCTCATTGCGTAGATTTCCTCTAAAGCAATGCATGCATGTATGTATCTTGATAAAGAGTTAGCACAAAGAATCACATATAAAGTGTAATAAACTTAAAATAAGACCAAAAACTCGAGCGCTTTCGAATAGTTGACTATTCTTCTTCAGGAGAACAAAGGGTCATGTATGTATGTGTATATTGTTACGTCTCCGTTTGTTAATTGAT